TGACGTGGGTTTTACGCGTTTTTAGACATATCTGCTTCCAGTCTCTCTCATCTTGTTCTAGCTTTACCGATCCCTTTCCCTAGCTTTCCCAATGACCATGGCCGCGACTCATGGACCAACAACTCACCTTCCAGCAGGTCCTATGGCTGTTTCAGCCTCTACACTGGATGATGAGGTACGGGAGTACGAAAAAATCTTAGCCATCAATGACCAAGTCTTCTCGGGCACTCACCCTCGGCTCAATGTTCCCCAGCACTTGGTGCGCAAGCCTGGGAGAAATGTCCAAAATGTCCCTCTCCAAACTCATTTACCTAAAAATCCCCCTCCGACAGCTGTATTGGCGAATACGCCTGTGGTTACAACCACAAAACAGCCTTACAATAGCTCGCAGAGTGCCGCGGCCAGAAACGCCTTGCCTGCAGCATCACAACCCGCCCGTGTGGCTTCAAAACCTACATCCGAGATCGATCCTATCTTCTTGACCAAGTCGGATGACCTAATCAGGGCGGAACTACAGTTACAAAGGCAGAGATTGGAAAGAGCGCTGCGTGATCAAGTGGAGTCCAAGAAACAAGAGACCAAACAGAGACCTGCGGTTCAAGACACGAAGCCCGACTTTGATGTCTCGGAGGTTTTCAAACAAGCTCTTGAGGCAGTGAAACCAGTCTCGCTGAGCGATGCATCTGAGGCCAGTGGACCTGGCGGTGCTGCCAGTGATTCCTTCGACGACAATTCATTTTACTCCAGTAGAGCTCCCGACTCGCCTCCGCAGACTGGCGGGCAACATAAGTCATCCCCCGTGGCTGTAATTGCACCTACAGGACCTGCCGCACGTGGTCCGGTAACCCATTATGCAGATGAGTTGCAGCGACTTGAAGCTCTCAACCGTCCTGGATCTGATCAGGAAATGCCAGATGCTTACCTTGTTGCTGACCAGCGTCAATCCCATTCTCAGAAGCAGGGCCGCTACCATAAAGCAGAGGCTCCCGTCAGCCGCTTCCGCGATTCGCATCGGTCCGAGATAGTGGACGAACCCGAATATTCTCCACCAGCTCCAGCAGTGCCGCCAGCGGATCATGGCGAACATCCCCGTGGGTTAGAAACTGGTGCTGGAAGAACATCTAGGCTAGATGCGAGATACCCCGACCGAACCCGAGATATTCGCAAGCCCCCGTCTCCCACAAACGTGAAGGTAGTTCGAAACCACATCACATCACCGGCAGCTCCCCGGCCATCTCGGGTGTCACCTCTGGCAACTGCCAAGGTTCCTTCTGTTCAGCAAGTCCGGGATGAACGTCCTTCTGACCAGGTGTACTCGGACCTTGATTCTGCTCGTGGCAGTCCCAACCCACCGGCATTTCAGGTCATGTCACGGAAACGGAGAAGGCTGCGTGAAGGCGATGAAGGTCCCCGTCAAACGTCGCACAGGACACAAAATGCAGAACCCGTGGAGGCATTTATCAAAGAGGAGCCTGTTTCACCGCCACCATTCGCCGATGATTCTACGGTTGTTCGCAGCCGAAACCCTGCAGAGCGCCCCATCTACATTGACATCGCGTCCCCTCAATACACTCCTGTATATGAAACTCGCGGACCGCTGGTGCGAGAGCCAGTTTACGAGATTGACCCGTACCACGAGCCTCTATCAGACGTTGGGCCCCAGCGCACAATATCTCGTCTGAGCATCAGACGGCCAATTCGGGAGGAAGCTGATCTTCGACGAGTCGCCAGCTCACAGTATGCTCGGCAATCAGACTATGCTCGTGAGTACATTGAGGCCCAGCCACGCCCAGTTCGAGCGGCATCATATGTGGTGGAACGCCCTCTGCAAGAGCGGTCAAGGTACTACGAAGATGCCCCTCCTTACACACAGCATCGTTATATTGCTGCGGATGACATGCTGCCCTCAACATATCGGGAGGCTTACTACGAAGAGGCACCGCCGGTGCGGATGATGGCACCTCCTCGACGTCGGATCGTGGTTGATGAGCATGGCACCCAGTACTACGAGTTGCCACAGGCACCAAGACTGCAGCCGATGGCACCCCCGCCCCCGCCCCCACCCCGGCCAGTCTCTCGGATGTCAAAAGATGTTTATGAAGAAAGAGTGCACCACCATGCGGGCAGTGTTCGTGCGCCTTCAGTTGTGCAAGACCCCTACGGTGAACGACACTATGTGCAGGAAATGCCCCCGCCCCAGCCTGTCTACAGGCGAGTGACGTCTGAATATGCTCGTCCCGTAGCAGCCGATGAGAGACAAGGCTACGCTGCTCCTTTGGAAGGCCATGAACCTTACTCACGCAGCAGCAGTGTACAAGTAGCGGAGTACATTCCTCGTCATGCGGTCTATGTTGATGAGCGTGGAGTGCCCCAGGAGAGAATAATTCGGACAGCCAGTGTTCGTCCTCCACAGCCTCACTATGAAAACTCGCATGAGGTTGTTCAGCGAGTTGGGAGCGTGCGACCAACTGGCCCAGGCGGCCGCGAGCCCAGTATCTTCAGGGACAGACAACTTGGGGAGTATGTTGAGAGACCGTATTACATTCGGGATCGACGGTACTATGAAGGTGAAGGCGAAGAGGGAGATCACATCGCGCTGGATGGCGCGAATGATACGATCCAGCGAGGCCCACAGCGTTATTAATAGCGTGCCATGCTTGAACTTTTTCTTCTATTTGCGCAGCATTTCATGACTTTGTATTTAAATGTACTATTCCATCAATTCATACTTTACGCATCATACTTTACGCATTATCACTACGTACCAGATTCGTATATCAGATATCTTGAACCCAAGGAAATTTGCACATCAGAGGGTGGCAGTTAAGCATCTTATAATCTCAGTCAATTCCTCGTGCTTGTTGAATATATTGGTAGTAGCAGTCATATCCACAAATCCTCGTCGGACATTGTTCTTGTTGCAGCTCTGATCTGCAAATAAACTGCCAATCTGTTGTGTAAGGAGAGAATCCAAGTGGTAGATTGATTTTGCTGGATCATCTAGCTTCGGGGACTTGTGTTCCTCTCACATCAGATGGCTAGATATTTTCAACATTCTGAGTATCAGAAACAAAGCCTTTATCATCATTTGAGAGTTCTGAATCAAGTATTCCCTGAGGGCTGAAAGTGGATGTATGGAAGCATATCAGGATATTTCAAGATTTGGAGCGCTCAAAAATTCTGCGGGCTATGCTTGTACCTTGTAATATTTCTTGTTAGCCTGCCATATTCAATTAAAGTCGCTGAATTCAAGTATCATTCAAGGAAGAAAAAAAAGAAACAATGAAATAGCCTAGGCTGCTTCCACCTCGATCAGATTGAGATTAAGTTTGTTCACGTGGACTTTTCAACTTCGCCTAAATTTATCATCATGTGCAAGTAAAGTAGTGGAGTATGGTTGTGTTGAAAACGAATTATATATAGTACCTACTAGAATGATAGTTGTCGAGAGACAATGTGTTCGAGCTTTCGAGAAACGAGGCATGCAAGACGCAATCCTGCAACTTCTAGCCCGTGCTAGGTCGGTCTGATATACCTGAATAGAATACTATCGTGATTAGCTAGTGATCTCTTTCTTTGTCATGGGAGTAGTATGGCAAGTGCATCATGATTAGTGACAGCTTGTATCGGAGTAATTTTGTATGACATGGTAGGTTCCATACACGATCATCCGAATTATCATCATCACTTGCAATCATTGCAATAATCAGCCATTGTGTGGGAGGGCTTAGGATTGATACCTTGTTTTGATGTGAACCAGGTCACGATGAAGAAGGCTGCCAGAGTATCTGGGATGTCCCATTCCGCAGGCATATGAATAGATGAGGATGGGGTCCAAGAGGACCAGAGGGTTGGTCCCTACTGGCCTCTGTTGCCGTGTGGATATTTCTCACTGTATTCGATGTAAACTTGACTTAAGGAACCAGGTTATAGAGGAATGGAATTCTGTCAAAGCAAAAGACCCAGATTAGCTAGTTGTAGGAGTCAAATGGGGACTATACTGGCCCAGTAAATTTCAGGCACATATTGATTTTAATTTACCACTCACATCTCGCATCAGAGTGACAACTTCTTCGTCATGTAACTCGGTCCATTCCCGTTGATCGTCATTTGCAAGAGGGCATATTGAGACAGACGAGGGTCACGTCCAAGGGTCATAAGCCATGCACAGGAGTGAACTTACTACAGGGCAGTATGTAGCATCTAAATGTGTTGTGGGTAGTCTATCGAGATGGTCAGAACCTTTGGCCTTGACCGTCATTAAGCCACTGATAGACCGAATTGGGGAGAGAGTTAGTTGATGAAGGAAGATGCAGGGTGTTCGAAGATAGGTTGTAAGGAGAAAGAGGTAAACAGAAAGAGAAACAATATAGGTAGGTATGGAAAGCTCTTGCTTTGTTTGCCCACTCCAAACAGGTCATACACACACAGCACCATTACTGCTATTTTCTATCTCACCCCAATTATAATTCATTTTGTAATCTTATTGACAGTAAGGTTGCCGCTTCAGGTAGAGATCGGCTCCCGGAGCACAGCCTGAGTACTCCTTGAGCACGCCCTGATTCCTACTATGTGTTGATTATAATGGTGTAGCTCTCTTGGTGGGGATTGGAAAGTAGAGTGTTGCTGGGCTTATACCCTGTCGAAGAATATGATTATGTTATCTAGAGTGGTTGTTGATATATGTATGATCCAATTGTTGTATTACTTGACTTAGATATATATTCCTCAAGTGAAATCCATTGGATATCGCATTCGTATGTGTCAATTATTGCTCCAAGAATAGAAGAGAATTTCAAAGTTGTCATATTCATGTATTGTAGGTTCTATGTGAGCGAACTAGCCAAAGTCCTCGGACGGTATAAAAGATAGTGTCCGGCTGTATAAAGATAGTGTCCGGTTGTAGTACTTATGCCCACTCATCCCTACTCAGCAAGGCATCATTAGACCAGCAAGGCATCATTAGACCAGCAAGGCATCATTAGACCAGCAAGGCATCATTAGACCAGTCTCCATTCCCTCTCCGTTATCTCCCTGAGGGACAGCAGGACCGCAGACGACGGCACGAACAGCCCGATCGTCTGATTGCGCACAAGCCCAAGACTAACCAACTGCCCGGCCCACTGCCAGCCGCCCATAGCGTAGCACGGCATGAAGACACCAGCCCCAGAGTCGCCAGTGCCGCAAACTGGCTCTGTGGCCTCACTCAGCGGGTATAGCGTCAGCAAACGGGCCACCATTACCGTCGGGTCCGACATGTCGGAACTATCAGCAGTGCGGGCACGGAACATCTTCGACTCGAACGGGCCGACACGTCCGGCGCTGCACCCGGTGCGCGCCCCGTCCTTGTAAACGATCGCGCCGGCATCCGGATCGGCTGGTCCTACTATGTGGTGCAGATTGAATGTGGCTGGTGGACGTGGCGCCTCTTTCGTGACACTCAAGAGCTCTGTCATAACGTCTGTCCCCCGACTGTTAAACCACCTCCCATTATGGCACTCCCATCCGTCTGCAAGGCGTACAAGGGCTAAGTCGCTCCGCCAGCCCTGACTATTGACCCCGATATCGCCATGGACCACAGTGCCACATGGCTCCACCCATGCCGATAATAGACGCGCGCGACTCTGACTGTCTGCCTCAGAAACGGTTTTGAACAACTCACTCAGGATGTCAAGCCCTCCGGGCGTTATCACCTGGGTTTGTTTCTTCTCTAAATATGGTAGTACATGATACGCTGTGAGGGCATATTTTTCCCCGTCATCATTGTTGCTGGTAGGGGCGAGAAACACCCCAACAGAACCCTTGGACTCCTCCTTCTGTAGCGAGATCGATTGACCATGGCTAAGGCGGCCTGGGTGTTGCGGAGGGCGCAACATCAAGTTCTTGCGTAACACAAAGCTGCGCTGGCTCGCCTCCCAGCTTTCCAGTCCAGCGAGTCCCAGGATATCTTCGGCATCGGCTGCCGGGCCGGCCATCTCGCGGATCTGAGCATTGAGCACAATTGTGGGCGTATCCTGGTCGGGGAGGACCGCGAGTAGCGCGGCCGTCTCGTCGGCGCTAACGTGAAGGCAGACGCACTCGATCCACAGCCTCTTCCAGCCGAACGGGCACCGGGTGGCGAGCACGGTATGAACAGTGCGGTCACGGCGTAGTAGATTCTCGATGTAGGTTAGGTCGTCGTCTAGAGGGCGTACCGGCCCGCGAGTCATCGATGGGAGCATCGGGAGCATATCCGGATCGCAAACAACTTCTTCCGGGAGGGGCTCCCTACGCTGTGTCATCATGTCCAGCCAGGTGTCCTCTGTATCAACCAGTCGCTGATTGTATCCCCGCGGGCCGTCGAGGATGGCCATGGAGCGCCAGAGATTGGGCTCTCGATATGTTGGTTGTTGCGGGAAGACCTGCAGGCCCCAGCGGAGCAAAGAGGTCATCGTCTCCTGGTAGAGCAGAAGAGATATCGAATCGATAGGCTCGGGGTGTGGGCAGAGATCGGACAGTGGTAGGACAATGGTGCCATCATCGAGCGTTGCGGCGCTGCCTTCTGCCAGGGCACGGATTGCCATCAGCACGGTCTCGGGCGTTCGGGATGATAGAATGGTGCGGATCTTCTCTGCAAACTCGCGAAAGACTGTTGGCGTGGTCATCTTCTCCCGTTTTGCGTGTGGCGTCCAGGGAGAGTGTGCCCATTTGCCATTTGCCGTTAGGCTTTGTGGGTGTGGTTGCCCGCGAGGTGATTAATGCTCAGCGTTATGATGATAGATGACTCCAGTACGGGCTTCTTGGGCAACGATCAGGGGCAGGGGGGTAGTAGCATATACTTACAGCGGTCACAGCGGGGAATATCTAAGTTACTGTGGTTGTGGAAGGCAGGAGTCGCAGGACTCTACAGGAAGGCACGATCAACAAATGAAATCGGCTGGGCTGCATGTACGGTACGAGCCACAGGAGCGATCTATGGCACCAGCGATACAAACAGTAATAATTTACTGGCTCACTATACAATGATCAGCGAGCTGCTCTTGATCGCGCACTTTAGGCTCATGTCGATATGGATGGAGGTGGAGTCTCTATGGAACTCAACGTCAGTCCGAGTCCCGACTCCCGCCCGCCGATTCCCACCTCGACATCAAAACCCGTATTACCCTGTGTATTACCCAGGGGTACTGTATAGCGGCCCCAGGATCACTTCAAGTTCCTACCTAGGATTGGCTATTTCCAAAGATTGTTATATAAAAATTATGCAATAGAAAGTTTCTGGTAGAGAAAGAATCTCTGTAAGTTGTCAAACTGATTTCGGTCCTCCCTGTAACTTGAAATAGTTACAGTCAGTGGACATATGTTTTTACACCCCTAGCCCCACTCCCCTATGATTATATAATATACTGCCGGTCGAAAACCCCCATGAGTTCATACTGTAGGATCTTGTACTTCGCATTTTAGATAGGCGGTATACTAATATGGTGGCGGTGAACTGGGTGGGGCATTAAGGGTGTAGAAACTTATGTCCAGTCACTGTATTTTCTTTCGTAATGTAATTACAGAACTTTTGTCCAACATGCTCAGCCACGCTGTAAACAGATACGCCACAATACCCGAAGCACTGCTCCCTGACCGAAAAAGTGGGCCAACCGTATCACGTGCCTCGATGATGACTCAGCCTCCGGTAAAAAGGGCTCCAAAAACAGCGTCCCAGGTAGCTATTTTCAGAGCCCAATTTACCGTCAACTAGCATTGGGGTGAAATGAGGTATTGAGAACTTATACTGGTCCTTGATTTTCTATATAGTAGTAGCAAATGGCAGGATATAGCCATGCTAGATATTGTTGTAGTTGTGGTTGGGTTTAGGTATCGCCTTGCCGCAGAAAACAATAAATTTGCAGTGGAAACTTCCTTTCTACTGTGTTAATATTCCAATCAGCGTCTGCATTTGCCTGGCCTTAGTGCTTTGACAACATAGCCTGCCATCTTGGGTCCAACTTGTTTAGTAGTATCAATGCTCTATCGTATCTTAGGGTCACTACAACAATTGAACAATTAATCTAGAAGACCCTTCGATATGACTACCCTCGAGACACTAGAGCTTATTAACATTACGGGCATCATTAAATGGACCTAGGCACAATTTGCAATGGTTCAGGAGTAACGGGTGTTCATCATCAACGCTCATGTAGGGACATGAATTCCGAATTTGGTATTTTATAGCAAGTTGAAATAGTTGTGGTGCAATCAGCAACGTCTCACTCCTTTGCAGTTATTCTTATCGGGAAATTTCATGAATTCAGGCTTGAATTGACGGATTTCGCTATTAATAGCATGTGTTGTTAGGAAAATTGACATATTTGGACACTATCAATAATGCTGATGCTTGAGACGTTTGTTTTTGACATAGTTAACGGCTTACAGCAATCGTTGTAGTTTACCGATGTAGTCGAAGTACCACGTGTGAAGTATATAGTTCTGCGGTTGAAAAGTATATCAACTAGTAACGATCCGCCTAGGCTATCGATACTACACTCTGTGGAATAGAAAAAGGTACTGTGCTAGAGATTATGTTCTGAATAATTCCTGATGGTGAAGTGGCAAAAGTCGTAGTTATATATCACGCGGTCAAGTGGATAAGCCCCGTACGGAGTGCCAACTTTACATTTCCGACTTTCTTTGTCCGAGGAAAAGAAACAGTTCAAATCTTCACAAGCTTATTTTAACTATACACCAATTAATAGCCTCATTATCTTGAAGCTTGCTCTAAAGCCAAGGCCAATGTGATAAGTTCTCTCTGACTTTGAAACCGAGGACGGGATGCAGTCTGATTTTCAAAACCAACGGTCCAGTCGGAATTGTCGAGTCCTTTGGAGAGCTGAAGAAGTGACCCACTACTGCCTGTACGAGAAGATGACGTCTACCATTTGAGGGGAAGTTATTCCACCTGGGTAATAGTTCCAGTCCCCAGTTCATTGCAGAAAATACGCATAGCATTGCATATCATTGCATAGGATTTGTGTTTGGATGTATCGGAAGCGCAACAGTTTGTCCCCCGGCGCCGTGGAGCCCGAACATGTCAGAGATCAGAAGCGATCAGAATCCAGCTAAGGTATCAGCGGTATGATCAACCTTTAGCTCCACATGCCTGACCACCTGGGCAGGCTTGACCCCTCAGTTTTCCCAGCGTCCGGTCCAGCCGGTGGGCAGTGATAGGCGTCCTATCACCACCTGTAGACCAGTGGATTAGGATACGGCGGCATACAGGGTTCTCTGTCCCGGAGCCTATGAAAGGATCAACCTGTGTATGCTAGGTACGGTACGGAATGACTCGGATCCCGAAGTACCTGAGGCCTGTCAAAGCGCGTAGAAGGGCACTTTACTGTAGGATCTCATCACTTTCACATACCCACGTGATAGTAAGACAAAGCCGGTATGAGACACGGTTTCCAGGGACTCAAGTTCGAGATACCTTGCGATATTGGCCAGGTGGTTTATGCCTGTATCGGGTACTAACAATGGCTGGATTCCATTTGCCAAGAAGACCCTTGCGAATAGACATTCAAGATCCTGCATTCTCGATTGATGACAATGTGGATTCGAGAAAGAGATATCAAGTTAAAGACCCTTTGAGACCCTTCCCTAGCTAATGTCTTAAGGTCTCGAGTAAAAAGGGCATATAAATCGAAAACTGCAAAATCAAGTAGAAGACCCGCAAGGACTGACCAGACCTATTTTTTTTCCCTATTGTTTTTGTTAGGCTTCCTTTTCCTTTCCTAGTTTCTTTTTATATTAAGATATATACACATATTGTATATTTGTATATTTATTCTGATCGCATTCGCTTTTGTTCTCATATCGTATTTAGAGGCGTTGGTTGGCCCCATCGATCTTCGTTTCCACCATTCCCGGGTCGAATCGCCCACACAGGTCATTCCCATCCCTGTCGAGAACGGCCTGATTCCTTCCCACATCTCCCCCCCCCCCAACCCAATCCATCCACTCTCTCCCTCTATCCCCTCGACTCGCTCAAGGGGTTAGAGATTTCTCTAACTAGTCATGCACAAGATATCCAACTTCACGGGCCAAGCCCGTCATGGTTGGGAACGAATGACGCCGACTTTCGGGATGTCCAGACCTCACACCGATATGGCTTTTCGCCGACCACACGGTGCGCCGCCCATGACACCGCCGACCAGCATCGATCCCACAGTCAATCTGTCCTTCAACGTTCCGTTCTCGTCCACACTAGCCGGCCCCGATGTCGAAGATGTGCTCCACGCCAGCCCCGGTGCCCTCCAGCGCTGGACTTTCCCGGAAGGCACACTGGAGGGCACATCGGTGCATCAGCTTCCCGTCCACACAAATAATGTCGAAGGCTTGCAGAGATTATGTCGGAAGATCACGGAAGAGAAAGGAGGACGGGTGGAAGCTACACTCACAACCTCCGAGGCCAAGGCTGTGCCCTCGCTACAACGCCGGCCGAATGGCTTGGTGACCAACGTCTGTGTCACAGGAGATGGAGATATGGCACGCAAGATGCGGGCGAGAATCTTGAATGAGACCCCGATCATGCTGGTACGTGAACGAATTTTTTTGGTTCCGGCGCCAGCAGTATTTTCATGTCCACGGACATCCCTTGCTAACATCGGACCGTTCGCTAGCGATGTGCCACTGTCGATGTGGATATGCATCTGATTATAGATGGATCGCCAAAGGGAATCAGAGCTAGCGTCCTTGAGCACCTGGACACTTTAGCCGCCTACACCGGAGCCGATATTTTCCTACTGACTCCCAAACTCCATGATGCGGATAGTGCGGTAGTTTCGTCATATGGCTATGCGTCGGATAATGGCTTGGAACAGCGCTTCAGGGTTGCCATTTACGGTGATTTGGAGAGCTCGGAACATGCCAAAACCCGGGTTCTGATCATGATTGACCAAATAGTACGTCTTTGTGTGTGCGTCGTGAGGCAGGCGAACTGACCAGAAACCAGCTCAAACGCCACGTGGATGCCATCAAACTGGACTCGACTATGCACACCTTGGTCTGTGGTCGCACTCGCAAGAACATCAAGCTCATCGAGGCTGCTACAGGCACCGCCATTTACTTCCCTCCACCTTTCCCGCAAATTTTCGGCTACATACCCCCCGGTGCGAATCGTCGAAGCGAGGATGAGGTTTACATTACAGGTGAGACGCCCGAACAGATTGCTCGCGCCAAGCAGAAGCTGCGAGAACTAGTGATGGGAGTCAAGATTTTTGTCAAGGATGTGGTTGTCAGCTCAAGCAAAATCGACAATATCTTACTCGATCGTCTGGATAAGGTCCGGAAGGTGATGGAAATGAACGGCTCTTATGTTCTTTTCCCGCAGCTTGGTAGCCAACGCGGGCTTGTTCGGATTCAAGGAACCGAGGTGTTGCACGTTGAGCGGACAGTTCGGGAAATCATGGCTCTGGTGCGTCGCTTTGTGGTTTTTGGTGGAATGATTTGCTAATATTTGGATGTACAGGCTGGTCAATTCTATAGTGCCTCGTGGTGGATTATCATGCCCGACCCCGCCCAAGGTGGTCTCCGTGCTCCCTCAACTGCCGATATTCGCTCCATGCTATCGGATATCTGTACCAATTCGGAAGCGGAGGTTAGCTTTGACAATCTGACTTTCACAATCAACGGTTCCGATGATGCAGTCAAGGCTGCTATGTCAGTCATCAACCAGATCCCATTCGTGATGCGAAGTCAATACCAGATGAGGGTGAAGATCGAGTTAGCCAACGAGCACAAGGAGTTTGTTAGTGGCAAGAAGAACGGAAAGATCAACAAGATCATGGGTCAGAGTGAGTCTCACCGGACATCTACCTGTAACACGAGATACTGATTGGCACCCAGGCAATGTCCAGATCATCTTCGATGGGTTCAACGAGTACAACTTCTATATCGATGTGTGCGGCAACCAGTATGAATCGACCAAGAATGGCTTGGACTTGGTTGAGCAGGAGATGCCTGCATCGATCTCGTTCCACGTGCCTGACCAATATCACAAGCGGATCATCGGAATTGGTGGACAGCATATCCAGCGTATCATGAAGAAGTACTCTGTCTTCGTGAAGTTCTCCAATGCAATGGACCGCGGTGGCATGGGCAAGGAGGATGACGACATCAAGGTTGACAACGTGATCTGTCGGACCCCTGCTCGCAACGCTCAGAGTCTGGACCTTGTCAAGCAGGAGATTATGGACATGGTCGAGAAAGTTGTAAGTGCTTACAGTGGCCAAAGCTTTGATCTCATGATGGAAACTTACGATTTGCAGGATGCCGAATACGTCGCCGAGAGAGTCGTCATCAATCGCTTATACCATCGTGAGCTATTGGCACGTATGCCTGAGATTGAAGAGCTGGAGAAGAAATGGAACTGCAAGATCGAGTTCCCAAGCACTGAGCTTGCCAGTGACGTTGTCACTATCTCCGGCCCTGAGTATCAGGTCCCCCAAGCGGTCGACGCATTGCTTGGCATGGTGCCTGAGAGCCATGAGCTTCACTTCCAGAGCTCGGCTGAACTCCAGGAATACTTTAAGTGCTCCGATTTCCTCGCCGATGTTCGGACCAAGCTCAAGGAGCAGTACGAGGTCGATATCAACGTGGATGTCGGTACCGATCTTCCTACTACTCAGGAGGAAGGCTCCTCGTCTCCCACCCCCGGGCCTGAAGACCGTGTGGTCCTCGGATACACGCGCAACAACGCCGGTGGCCTAAAGGACGCCATTGACTTCTTGATCTCCCGTCTTGTTGCACATGGACTGGACGCAAACACCGTCAAGGGAGCTATCCCGCGCCCCAAGTCCGACTCGTTCGAAGAGTCGCTGCCCTTCTTCGACTCAAAACTCCTGCAGCACGCACCAGTGCCCCTCTCGACCGACTCGCCCACTCGGCCGAACTTCTCCGATGAGAGCAGCGAACGAGGCTCGATTTTCGAGCGCCTCCGCAAGCCCGGAAGCATCTCGTCCTTCTCCTCGTTCATCGGCCGCAAGAATCACTCCGCCTCACCGGGGTCGTTCTTCAAACACGCCTCGAGCAACGCCTCCAAGGCCTCACTCGTATCCATGGAGTCACGCGATAGCGGCTACCGCAACCCATGGAACGATTCTGGCGTGAACCTCCCCGAAGACGACGTGCACGTCCTGGGGAGCTCGCACAGCCACAAGAGCAGTAATAGCAATGGCTGGCCCACACGCTTCGACACCAAGTTTCCCTTCGGCACCGCGCCGGGTGACATGACGCCAAAGCATGACCCGCGTACTTCTTATGATAGTGGTCGTCCTAGCACTTCCAATTCTACTTCTGGATACCCGGCCCCAATTGGGCCACCGCGTTAAAACAAAAATATCCATTTGCAGCAGTATACCCTTTTTTTTGGTTGAGTTGTTTTTGTCTGTCTTTTTCTGCAATTATTTTCATTCCCAGCGTGTTTTTTCCGGTTCTCTTTTTGTTGGTCTTCTTGTTGATTGATACCACGGAACGCAAGCAATGAAGGCGTCAGAAAAGAAAGAGATATCCAAGATCTGCGTGCGATAGAGCAGGGAGAATGGTCTTGACCATATCCTGCCTCTTTTTGTCTTTTTTTTTTCTTTTTTTTTTTTCGCGATGCGCATTCGGAGGAAATGACGGGACTGGATAGTCTGAATTTGATGATACCAGGGCCATCTGGCCTCGACTTCAGAGGAGTTTTCCGACAAGTTGGGGTTTTATGTTGATGTTTTACTCTTTTGATATCCCCCAATCATCAATGAGATTTTGCCATTAGAAGACATTCTCCAATCTAAGTTGTTATGATGGAAGCTGCTATACTTGATGTTCTATCATCACATATAGATGTAAGTACCTGAATTCTTCAATATGCTTCTCATAGATAGCTTCGAGTGACATCGATACCTCGGTATGCCCCCGTGGCGAGTGACGTTATACGCGGGGTCGAAGTCAAAGCACCTCTCCACACCCCCAATCATCAAGTTACAACTCCCAAGAGACCATACAATCCTATTGAAACACACAGCTAAACACCTAGAACACCTAAAATGACAGCATCCTACCCTCGCCCGGACTTCCAACGCACTTCTCTAAACTGGAACACCCTAAATGGTCCCTGGACCTTCACCTTCGACGACAAAGACGAAGGCCTAATCTCACAATGGCAAAAGACCAGCCTGGAAGGAATACCTTCCCACCAGATAACAGTTCCATACGCCTTCCAAACCCCAGCCTCGGGGGTAAACCTCATCGAAGCGCACGAGGTAATGTGGTACGAGCGGCGCATCATAGACATCCGCACAGCCAATGAAAAGCAAAAAGGCAATAGACTACTCCTCCGCTTCGGCGCTGTCGATTATGAGTGCTCTGTCTGGGTGGACGGCGTCCTCGTCGGCGGACACCGTGGCGGTCATGTGCCATTCGATATAGATATCTCGGACGTCATCGCCGACGGCGCTACAGAAGCCCGTCTCACTCTCCGGGCTAGAGACTCGCCTTATGACATGACCCAGCCGCGTGGCAAGCAGTTCTGGGGCCCTGTTCCGGAAAGTATCTTCTACACGCCTACCGGCGGCATCTGGCAATCTGTTTGGTTGGAGAGCGTCCCGGCTATGCGGCTGCTATGTGGGAGTGGAGGGACGGTGATTCGTTCTGATGATATTGAGGGCGGGAAGTTACATGCAAAGGTTCAAGTTGCCGGACGCCGCGTTGGAAGTGCGGCGAAGGTCGAGGTTGAGGTTTCACTTGGGGGGCTAGGTATTGCAAAGGTGCACGGCGAGCTGCCGCGGGATAAAACCTTCGTTGCGCTTGATTTGAGTATGACGGTTACTGAAGCTGTGGTGGCACAGCTGAAGACGAAGAATCAGAAGCTGTTCGGTGTTGATGGAGTCTGGAGTCGGGGTGTCGCGCTCTGGGCTCCGGAGCATCCTGTTCTCTATGATATTACGCTTCGCCTGTTTGATGGGGCCGGGGGTCTTGTCGATGAAGTCCAGACTACGACCGGCATGCGCAGTCTAAACTGGCAAAATGGCGATGGAACGTTCCAGCTGAATGGGAAGCCGTATTTCCAGATGTTATTCCTGGACCAGGGCTACTGGCCCGAAACGGGCTTGACACCTCCGTCTTCAGAGGCCTTGAAGACGGACATCGAGCTAGCGCAGAAACTAGGCTTCAATGGATGCCGCAAGCACCAGAAAGTCGAAGATCCGCGCTTCTACTACTGGGCGGACCGGATGGGCTTCCTCGTCTGGGGCGAGATGGCAAATGCCTACGAGTTCGACACTGACTACGTTGAGCGGTTTACCAGCGAGTGGATCGAAGCCGTGAAGAGGGATATCAACCACCCATCGCTGATCACCTGGACACCACTTAATGAGTCGTGGGGTGTATCCGATTTGAAACACAATGTCGAGCAGCGCAACCACGTTCGCGCTCTGTATTTCATGACCAAGTATGGCCCACCCGATTTAGAGAAAATGGATGAACTAGCTAATACAAAAAAACAGAGTCCTCGATCCTAGCAGACCAATCAACGACAACTGCGGCTGGGAACACGTCCAAACAGACCTAACAACCTTCCACGACTACGGCGACTCAACCGACCTAGGCGCCGCATGCGCCACCATGACAGCGATCCTCGAGCTGAAAGGTGGACATGAGGTCTTCACCAAACCAATATCCTTATACGCCGGCTCTCTGATCGTCGACAAAGGCGCTCAGCATACGCCCGGCGCACCGGTGATCTGCTCTGAATTCGGCGGTGTTAACATCGCACCACCTAAGGACTCTCCTGCCGCCGGGGAGCGGGACTGGGGGTATACGACTGCGACCGACCCGGCAGACTTCTTGGTGCGATTTAAGAAGCTGGTTATGGCAGTTGTGCAACCGGGGCATATTTGTGGGCTTGTCTGGACCCAGCTGTATGTTGCATTCGTCGTTCCTGGCCTTTGGATTTGGGACCTGGGAATTTGTGCTAACATATTTCCTTTTACTTCGATCTAGGTGTGATGTCGAGCAGGAGGTGAATGGCCTGTACACCTTCGATCGCGAGGAGAAGGTTCCCGCAGAGAAGGTGAAGGAGATTATGGATGCTGCGAAGGATCACTACTACCGTCATACCACTTCTCACTCGAAGGGGTTTAGGAAGCTACTGGATCAGACTAAGCATTTTGTGAATCTTTAGGTCGTGCAATGCTCATTGTGGATTTGAGGGATATCCAGTGAGCGGCATCGTACCTCTTAAGACCGTAGTTATCAGCAAGAGGCCATCATGTTGAAGCTATCTGAAGATCAGAGATATATTATAGGTTCATGCGGTGTCGGGCTACCTAGTTCCACCCTAAATTCTTCGTATAATTGATGAATGAACAAAAGAACATCTAAAAGTGATTTAAAATACAAATTGCCCATGTAGTGATGTGATCGGATGATCTCTAAGAATTGCGGCCAGCAGTGGATATACCCGAAGTGTCGCTGGATAAAAAGTGCCACAGAAAATACTATAACGGATATGACGTTGATCCAATTCTATATTGAAGGGTGAAGATATAGCGCTTTGTCGATACCCAAGCACTCGATATATTCTGGAACGCAGGACACTGTGAGACCTAGTCAAGATAAGTCCGCGATGCAAGATTTAAAAAACAAAAGGCCCGAAAATACTATTGAACATCACCAAAATATATATTATTGTCACTGGGCGCTAGACGAAAAGATCCCATTAAGTAAAGACTGAAGAGCAAAATAGCCCAAAGATCAATTCGCTGGATGCTGTACTCGAAAAAAAAAACAACCAAACCCCATAGAAACGCCGGAGATGCCAAGACCCCATATCAGGCGAGATAAAGAAACGTGCTAGATGGATGTGAATGCGGGATGCAGAATGAATGCATATTACAAGTAAAAAATTTACATGTTAGCCAATTCCTGGTCGATCTGTCGGTCCAGGAAGGCTCGCTTGTCGCCCGTGAGCGAGGTTTGCAGGCGGTGTTCGACAAGAACGCGGACTGTTGGGTCATGGTTAGCGAACTGTATGATTATCATAGAAATTAAGGTAGGAACTTACCCTGTTTTTTGGTGACAGTGTCTAGATCAACCTCGGCCAAACAGCCGCGGATTGCCTCGGTGATAGCACCCTCATCGGGCCCACTGGCAGAACGGAAATCAAAGGCGGTGCTGGCGGGTCGAGAGGGGTACTGGGGCAGGGGGCTGCGCGAGCCAGCATTGCCGAGGAGGTTCTCGCTACTCTGCATCATGCCGACGCTGTGTCTGCTCGAGGCCATCGGGTTGTCTTGGTAGGCACTGAGGCCACCCATGGACATGTGCCGAGAAGCCTGGGCAGAGTGGCCGCCCATGCGAGGGCTCATCTGCGGCAGATCAGTGTAGCGGGAGAAGTTCGACATGTGCGAGTTGCGGTTTCCGGGGACGTTGCCGCCGACGAAGGGTGCGGGAGACTGTGGGGGCATGTAGGGGTGGTTGCGGCCCTGGCCTGGGAACCCGGTGAGAATGGTGGAGGCTGGCTTGACGGATGAGTACTGCGAGTGCATGTCATCCATCTCCATAGCCATTTCGTCATACCGGCCGGTGGCGTAGACCTTCTCCTGGCTGGCACTGACCTCGCCGCGGCGGCCGGGGAGGTTATTGGCCATGGCGTAGTCATCCCAGCGCTGGAGAGGGATGCTGCGTGGATCGAAGGGCTCATCTTCCACGGCGATGACACGCTTGTCGCCCTTCTCGCCGATGACAATACGGGTGGTACCCCATGTGAAATCGTCCTGTTTCCAGAAGGCATACAACGGCAAGACGAAATTGTAGATCGGGTACGCAAGAAGGTAGATGATCATCCATCCGATGTGTTGCCACTGCCGTTTGACAATGAAGATGATCGCTTGCAGACCATATACACCAGCCAGCATGATAATCGAGATCATAGGGAAGGGACCCGTGTTGCTGGCAACTCGGTAGATCAGGTAGGTGAGGTACACGCAGGTCGCAGGAAGAATGAGAGTTCCCACCAGATCGACGAGAACGACGAAACGCATACTGAAACAGCAGAAACCGCAGAGATCTTCCAGAGCTGCCAGTTCCACCAGGTTGTGGATTGTGGAGTTGATCCAACGACGTCTCTGCGACATAAGGACACTCCAGGTATCGGGGGCGGCTGTGCTCGCGTAGGCATCTGGAATAAACTTGTACGACATGGCTGGGAAGTGCTTGGTCATGATGGTTGTTAGGTACCGATCCTCGCCAAGAGATAAGAGGTTCTTCTTGTGGAGGGTGTCAACATCATTGTCAGCGTAATCGTGAATGACTTTGTCCGAGATAATAAGAGGACGTCCTTTGTCCGCAGTTCGAAGGCGGTACATGGTGAAACTAGGTATTGTTAGTATCACTTATTTCCGAGAAAGCATATAGGAACGTACCATCCAGGAAGACAAGTAACACTGCCGAAGAGCGACTCAAATGCCTTGGCCAGGTGATGCGAGATATAGTATTCGTAAACCTGAATCATGGTCCACCAACTACGTTCCTCGTTCTGAAGACTAGTCTCGCCGCAAATGCCAGCGATCTTGGCATCTGCTGCACATGCTGCGACCAAGCGATTCAGAGAATCCTCCTTGACGGTGGTATCTGCGTCGACCATGAGACAGTATTCATATAGCTCGGGATCCACACCGATGACGTTGTTGATTTGGTGGAACATTTCCAGTTCAAGGGGGGACATAGGTGAGCGATGGTGAACACGGTTCAAGAACTGCATGAGAAGGACCTGCGTGTCTCGCTTGCCACGATTGCCGGGTTTGGACTTGCGCTGCTCGGATTCCTTGCCAACCTTGACGACCACAATGTAGGGCACGACATTGCCTTCGTACTCATAGAGTCCAGAGTAAACCTTGCCGTAGTTCAGCTGCTCACTTCCCTGACCGAGAGATTTGCATGGCAGTGCCGGTGGGTCCATCTTAGGATCAACCCCGAGAATGTCCAGAACGATCTTTGGGGTGGGGCGGTCATTTCCGCCACCAACAATCATACCATCACAGATGACAAAGATCAGCTTTCTCTTGTTGTCGTACTGCAAGGCAGTCAGAGAATCAAGACCTTTCCTCAGATCGTTCTCGCCCTCAGTGTATGCGGGGACCATGCAGATGACAAATTTGTCCTGAGGCGTGGGCCGACGTTTGGACCCCAGCTGCAGAGCTGCCAGGAATTTGACCAGAATGACAGCGCAGATAAGAATGGTAAAGGTGAGCAGGATCCAATTATTGACAGTGCATCGTGCACTTTCACGGAAATCAACTTTGCCGACATAGAAGACAAAGTCGAGACATGTCTGAGCATTTTTGAAATCTGTCGTGTCCTCCCATTTGTCAGTGACGTCTTCGCCCATGTTGTCCTTGAAGAGAGCAGTCAGAGTCGAGGGTAGCCAATCGTATGTGTCGAGATTGTTCATCGTGCTCAGTGTATAGAAGTAATCTGTCAAGTCATACACCTTTTGATCCTTGATAACCCAGTAGCGAGAATCAGCGTCGGCCTGCTTCTTGATGGTATCCCTTGTCCAAACCAGGTCACCCTTGTAGTATGTACCAATCTTTGGCAAGAATTTCTTTTCATACCAGGTAGACTTGTGGAGTGCTGAGGTGGTGCTTGTTGCTTGTGCCCCCGATTTGTGCTCGGCCGTAGAAAGGGCGATGGCGGATGTGTCGTTGTGCTGCAAAGCGAGTGTATCGGATGTAACAAATGAGGAACAATAACGATTGAGGGGAGGGGGAAAGTAGGCATCTAAAATCTCTCCTCCAAATTGTTCCATGTTCGTCGAGGATGTTGTTTCTCCAGTAATGTCACTGTGTTGTGTGCGCCAGAACTTGCTGATGTCGTAGACACGGCCGTGGATGCCGACGTAAAAGTTATTGTCAGTTGTGTGCCAGCTGACTTCCTTCTTATTCCAGACTTTGTCCTTGTTGGGACAGAGAAGGTCACCAAACGCAATGATATAGAAGCAAACAATTGCATTGAAAAGCAGAATCAAAAACACAAGGACGAGCTTTTCTCGCCAGGCCAGGCGGACATCCGGGCGTTTCATGCGGCCAATGTATCGGAGCACGAAGGAAGGAATCCAGAAAGTCAGCGCCCAGACAAAACCAGTCCAGAGCCGGCGGCCCAAGGTGATGGTCTTCTTCTCGATGTGCTTTGGATCACCAAACTCAGGGTCGAATTCGCCGACGTACCGGCCATACTCGTCGTAGTACGCAATGTCTCCTTTTTTGTCGTCACCTTTCCGGCCCAAACCGTAGTCACCGGTATTAACAGCGTTGGCGAATGGCGCACTGGGGGCGATGGACTTGGCACCGTCAATCACACTGGGGGCGATGGCGCCGCTAGGTGGCATGCTAAGAAGATTGGAATTCTCATGGATGGGAGTGCCATCTGGGGTGAAGGCGGTCTCATACAACGCAGGGCCGTACATGAATGGATTCACCTGAGTTTCCTCTGGCTTGAGATCCAGCATACTTTCCGCTTCCCACCATGCCCCCTCGCGCATCCATACGCGCTGTTCACCGACGACGGCGTCGCCGTTGCTCCAGCCTCTCTCAATGATCCAGTTCTCAACACCGTCCTGGCCTTCGGTGCAACCAAGTCGCGCATATCGACTGACAAACTCTTCCACGTCGAAATCGGCGGTGAAATCGAGTTGCTTCAAACGACGATTGGCCCATTCCGGCAGTCGCCAGTCCCGCAGTTGGCGGGAGACTGCACCAGCAGACCACGCTGTAGGTCCCAATGACACGAGCTGCTCCGGCATATCATCAGTCGGATGGATGGAGAGGTGGTACCAGACACGGCTGCTGTTGAGCGTGTTGGCAAGATCGAATCGGCCACGCTTTCCCACGGAGATACCTTCGGTATCATTGGGGAACAGAACGCGTCTGAGAAAAGCGTCAATCTCAAGTTCAACACCAACCTTTTCCAATACCCCCTGCCGCTTGTCGAGATCATGTTCGCGTTCCCGCCCGGCAAGGCCTGTCATGATATTGAGATCTGGTTCGACTTGAGCTACTGCAGAGTTCATTTCACTGATGATGGAAGCTCCAATAGGCGGAAGGGGAATTCCATCGTCCTTCATTTCAGCATTGAGACCAAGAGCATCATCGAAGATGCCTCTCATCATGATCGCTTTACCGAGAG